TTTTTTTTTTTCTCTCTCTCTCCCTCTCCTGTAGCCTTTGTTAACCATAACAGTCGCGGGTTCCGAATCGATGTGTGTACTCACAAACACGCTCGTGGCTGAGACTCTCGGGCTCATCCTCCACGCACTTGGGAAAGTTGCTCCGTGGGTGCAGCCTATTAGTTTCTAATCACACGCCTTTCGGAAGCATGCTAATTGATTGTACATATTTCAGACTTGGTTTTCACAATCGGTGCTTGGATTATTTTGTTTTAGGGATACTGTCCTTGGGTCAGGTACTTTTGTCTTCTCACCCTTGCATGTTATGGTTTCCTTGTGCACCTAAACAAAAGAAAAACAGAAATCGAGGTTGATTTTGGTATTCTTTCCTTTCGCCCTTAAAGGCAAATACTACCTGTTTGTTGTCAGACCAATTTAAAAACAAAAACATGCCAAGGTGAAAATATTTCAGCAGTAGCAGAAATTGTAGCCTTATTGTCAGGCCTTGTTGGAGTATTCAAAGTGGTAATTGTTTAAAACAATTCTAAGTGGTAATGTTTAAAACTAGTGAAACGACATATGTAAATAGTCGAATCATCGGGGCAAATCAGGTAAATTCCTGAAGATCATCTTTTTAAAAATGATACCCTGCCTGATATGTCAGTTTCCAAAGTCCCTTTTAGTTTTTTCTGACTGATGGTAGCACTGATACAGAGGATGTTTCTCTTGAGCCTAATACAAGAATATATTTGCTGCCATGCTGGAAATATCTTTCCTATTAGTTTACTTTGATCCCTGTAAAAAGCAATTTTCCCCTTTACAGAGAAGTGTTAAGTAGTTAAAACGAAGTTGGAATAGTTTCAATTCATGAGTTAGTGAAGCAGATGGAATCTAGACATGGGAGAAGTATTATAGTTTAAGGTTTTTGTTTTTTTTTTTTCCCTTCCATTTAACTGTGAAACAACTGCATAAAGAATTTTTTTTTCGCCGGGCGGTGGTGGCGCACGCCTTTAATCCCAGCACTCGGGAGGCAGAGCCAGGCGAATCTCTGTGAGTTCGAGGCCAGCCTGGGCTACCAAGTGAGTTCCAGGAAAAGGCGCAAAGCTATGCAGAGAAACCCTGTCTTGAAAAAAAAAAAAAAAAAAAAAGGAAAAAAAAAAAAGAATTTTTTTTCTATTAGGTCATTTGGCAAATGTTTATGTGAAATTCATAAAGTAACATTGCTGTTATTTTTAAATTTTTCTTTGTTTTTGCATAAACTTACCTGTGGTGGTAAGAAAAATTCTTCCAATCTATGGACATTTCTAAATTGAGTGTCCAATTACATGGTTAATGTTAAAATCCAGTTGACTTAATTGAGTTTAAGGCTGCTCACTGCCCAAGCTTAATTACTGCACTGTGATTACAAACATCACTTGTGGCCTTAGCAAGACCCTGCTCTTAAAGCTTGGCGTTTCCTATGTTGTAGCCACACTTCAAATGACTCCATGTTGTAGGTGTTCAGCAAAGTTTGGTTTTTCAGGGTTCCAAGGTACTAGTCACTAAACAGCTATGCAATCTGTATGGTTCATAAAGTAATAGTCTTGGGAGAAACTGCAGAGTAATTTCCTGTTTGTGGCCTTCGTGTTAGGCTTGGTTATGTGTTTGAACTCTCGGTAAGAATGTTGGGGCTGCTTTTGTACACAGCCCTTTCCTTCAGGTGAATAGAGGTGCTAAATGAGAGCAATGGTCCCTTCTCATTTCAATGCCATAGATACTAAATGAGGAGAGCAATGGTCCCTTCTCATTTTGATGCTATAGATAACAAACTGTAGCTGTAATCTCAGGACTGCTCGTTAGGGAGGCTGTGAGCGAACAAAAAAAATGCTAACTCAGTTTAGCTTCATGAACTGGTGGTTAAGGACCTTTTGTGTTTTTATATTCTGTCAAAACTTATCAGATTTGACTTTGGGGCCTGTTTTCCTTCTTGCTGGGTTTTGATTCTGTTGGTTTAATGCTCTGGACTTCAGAAGCCATGTTTGCAGCAACTTTTTTTTTCTTTTTTATACAGGTGCTTTTGTAGTGCATGTAGGAGCTGTATATAGTGCAGTCTGGCAGATGGAGATTTATTCATATTCTTGGGACAAGAATCCTTTTTAGAGGGTGGAGAGAGGCATATCGTTTTAGATGCTTTGTCTGAGCAGAAGCGCAAGAGACATTTTTAGGCCCTTGGTTTCTGTGAGTGCAAAGATGTTTTCCACTAAGTATTGCAAAGGTGTGTCAGAAATTAACCATAAAGAATTCAGTGTCTGTCACTCTATTGGACAAGTAACATTTGCTCTCTTACACACACTTTCTCTGGCTAGTCACACCAGTATTCCTTAGTGGAATTAGGAAAGAAAGAACTCGTGTCTCATGGCCAAGGCCCCAGAGTAAGAAAATTAATTATGTTGGAGTATGAATCGAGGAGCCTGAGCATTGGGTAAATTCATTCACAGGAGGCTCTTGAAGTATACTTGGGTTGCTTTCTGTCAAGTGTAAAGGATGGCATTAGGAGAGATGGGATGTATTAGCTCCTGTGTCCCTAGGAACAATATCTTTTTTGGGGTAGGGGTAGAGTCTGCCACGTTTTGTAGTTCATTCAAACCGAAGATATGGCTGAATTTTCAGAAACATGCTTGTTGAGCAGATGTACGGTTGCTAAGCTTTTTTGGTCTCAATTTGATTAACCATTGCCCTGTAGTTAAAGAAAGTAGTTAAGGAAAGAAAAGGAACTTGAGTCATTTGGGTTCCAGTGAAAGGAATATTGTATGCAAATGGTTAAGCCAAGAATACCGATTGGACAGCATTGTCATGTAGTGGAATGGCCTTGGAGTTTGGACTCAAAGTCCTGGGCTGGTATTTGGTTTCTCTCCTGTAGTATTGGGTAAATTAAACTCCCAAGTCTTGGTTTCCTTATTAAAGTGGAAGGAGTCGCTTTTGCCTCTTGTGATTGTTATAAAACTGAGAGAGAGCCGGGCGTTGGTGGCGCACGCCTTTAATTCCAGCACTCGGGAGGCAGAGGCAGGCGGATCTCTGTGAGTTCGAGGCCAGCCTGGGCTATCAAGTGAGCTCCAGGAAAGGCGCAAAGCTACACAGAGAAACCCTGTCTCGAAAAACAAAAAAAAAACAAAACAAAAAAAAAAACTGAGAGAGAACATTCTTTGAGACAGGATTCTCTCAATTTAACATTCTTGTCCTTTAGTTAGTTATTTGGGCTCTTCTTAATGCAGATGATTTGCTAGTACTGTTATCCATGAGTTCCTTCCTATAAATTGGGATGAGAAACAGACACTGACTAACAAGGCCTTCGGCCTAATTGTCCAAGCATAGGGGGATCTTTTCAGGTCCTTAGTTAGAACCTGTTGGTATTCATTAAAATGTCTTGAACAAAGTTATCTGTCATCTAAGTCCACAGACTGAAACTCGTAGACTATGGGTAGTGTGGGAGGCTTGACAGGGTGTGGTGGGGGTAGATAGGATGGGGGGACTTGTAACTTACTGTCTTTGTTAAGAGAAAACAGATAACAGCCTGGAGCGGATAATAGAGATAATCTTCAAGACCCAGAGGAGTACCCCAAGCTCTCGACTAGCATGTCTGGGGCTGTTCAGAGCAGGGCCAGACCTGAAAGCCGAGCAGTAAGTGTGTATCACGTCACTGAAATTGGGTTTGGGGAAAGACCTGTTAAAGACCCTCTTTCTACAGATAGGGTAGAGCATTGTGTTATGGCCAAGGACTTCATGAAACATCCACAGTACCTTGTATTCAAGGGCTCTAATTTTAGACTGAAAAGTCTTTCTCAAGTAAGGTGCCCTTAGGGCTACAGCACCAATCAAATTGGAGAGAAGTCCATCCTTTCTAATAGCCTGCTGGTGTTAGGTGAGAGTTTTCACTCAGGCTTTGAGAGACAGTTCGCTAGAAATTCCTGGACAGAGCAGATGTGAACAATGCACCCACCTCTGTTCAGGGATTCTTGTTTCTTAATAATATTAGCTTTGATTTCGGAAAGAAAAAAACTTACTGAGGCAGGGTCTCACTATATAGATCAGACTTTCTCAAACTGGCCTCAAATATCAGGCTGGCCTTGAACTCAGTGATCCTTCTGACTCAGCCTATCAAGTGCTGAGATTACAGGTGTAAGCCTATATGCCTGATGACTTTGATTATTTATTTGGGTCTTCCCTGTCTTAGGGTTATTTTTCTAAATCTTTATCCAATAATTGTTGGTGACCTTTTAATAAGGCAGTCTTGCTTGATTTTAGCTGTAGTAAAGAAACTAGTATTTTTCATTATTTTCATTATTGCTTGTCCCTGATCAGTTTTGGTTATTTTCTGTAATGTTGTAACGGTGATGCCTTTAGTTATGATTCTAGATTTATGTCGCTAAACATGGTTCTTAATTCACTTCAGTAATTTGATATGTAAAAAAACAGAATTTTGTCAAGCCAGTTGGATTTAGGCATTGCCTCTAGTTTGGCCAGGTGGCTAGACATGTTAGAGTGATTTGTGATCTGTCGTCTTCCCTCAGTCCTGCAGTGTGAGTGGTCTACTGTAGCTCAGTCAGTTTTGCTTAGTTGTAGCTGAATCCACTCATAGGACAGTTGCCTGGTGATTTGATGTGTCTTTGTGTTTGTTTTAAAAAATATTCTTTCATAGTTTTGCACAAACATAATGTTCTTTGAAAATATGCCCCACCCCATCCCCCTTAGCCTTATTTCCCTCCACCTCCCACCAAACCCCTTCTCAGCATACTCCTTTCTACTTCCATGCTCTTTCCTTTGACCTGTTGTTACTTAGTAGAGGTGTTTGCATGAACATGGGTTGTGGTTATTTACTTGAAAAGGGAAGGGATAACTTAATGGTGACCATGCCACTGAGGAATATGACTCCTCTTCCCTCAGCACCATTGACTACTTACAGCTATGGAACCTCATGAGCCCCTCCTGTCCATAATGGAATCTTGATGGGACCAGTCTTGTGCAGGTAACCACAGCAGCCGTGAGTTCATGATTACAATAGTCACCATGGCCAGAAGATGATGTTTCACAGCACTCCTTCCCATCTTCGGGCTCTTTTTCTGCTCCCTCTTCGGTCGATGTCTCCTAAGCCTTGGAGGCGTGTGATATGGATGTCTTGTGTAGGGCTGATACTCCTCACATCTTTATTCTGAGCACTTTGACTGGTGATGATGTCTGCATCAGCCAGCACCACTCCCTGCAGAACCTCGTTTGTAACTACTTAGAGGACAGTTGGACGCCTTGTCCGTTAGCAAGACTCTGGTAGTAGGTTCTTCCTTATGACCTGTGATCTCCAGTCATGGGCTTTCCAGGTTTACAGAATCAGAAAGTATTTGGTCATCTCCATAACAGTCATGCCACTATCACACCTGTGGGCACATCTTGCCTGGCAGGTTGATACCTCGAAAGACTTGAAGCTAGGTCAAACAGTTGGTGATTTTTCTCTCCCTTTCAGTACTATAAAAGCTAGCTGTCAGGGGGAATCTTCCAGCTCAGTTATAGCTTGATTTCTTTATGTGCTAAAATCAAAGTGTAATATCTTGGGCAATAGGGTAATCATCTAGTTCTGGTGGTCAACCAAGAGAAATGACAATAATACACGCACACATGCACGCACACGCTTGCACACGTACGTACGTACACATTGCAGGGGGTGGGATCTCCCTCAACAACTCATGGAAAGGTATCTTACAGCCTGGCATTGGGAATTTATTTCATTTAATAACACATGACTTGCAGGAGCAGCATTATCCACCTGTGCAGAGTACCTCCTTCAAATTCTTATTTTACTTTATTTTTAAATTGTCTTATAAAATAGTAGGTTTCCATATGACTCTTTCATACATCATTAGTTTGGTTAATCCTCTCCCCACCTCCTCATGCCCCCCCCCCCCATTTCCTTTCTAGTTTCTTGGCCTCTACAGACACTGTCTTTTATGACTGTACCCATAAAGAAATCCTGAACAAATTCTAAATTTGTTAAAATTTGGGACTTAATGTGAAATTTTACTGATTTTTCTAGATTCACAGTTTTTGAAAATGTGGGATTTCATTGGCCATAAGTCTATAAAGCCTGTAAGTAGAAACTTTGTGCAGTTGCAGCTGAAGGAAGGGCTACGTTTCTTTGAGTTACCTGCAAAACCCAGCTTCTTTTCCTTTTTTAGGTGGGATACTTACTTGTAGGTTTAATGTATTCGGGGAGGAAGAATATTCTGTGAAAACATCCAAAATACAGTGTTTGTTGTTGTTGTTGTTTTAAAGTGGTAATAAAAGTAGGAAGGGGGAGTGGGCAGTGGCCAAAGCCCTACCTGTTCTTCCCCACCCCCTCATTCTGGCTCACAGACACCTTTGAAGCTTGCTTGGGGAGCAAGAGTTTTAGAGAAGCTGTGTGTGTGTGTCAGGTAGCAGCCAACTATGGTGCCAATTTAGCACTTGAGATACAGATGATGTGGCCGAGGAACTGAAGTTAAATTGTATATTGTTTTAATTTAATTTAACTTTAGATGCCATATTATAGGCATTGGCTTCTGTGTTGGACATCACAGGTAAAGACCACCTTTACCATTGTAGACAGTTCCCTTGGCACCAGCTACTCTAGATGTGCTGAATTGATTGCAGCCAACAAGCACTGCCACGTGATTGTGGGTACTAGGTGATGCTTCAGGAGTTAGACAAGACCGACTCGGGAACTGGAAAGGCCATTAAGGGAACATGGCACTCTGCTGACTTGCATTTGGGCCTGTGCAGTCTTGTGCTGGTGTGCATTTATGGTCTGGGATGCTTACAAGCTGATGATAGAGATGCAGCTTCCACACAGCCTATTAAAGGTGTAAATTTGACTGGCCAGGAACAGGTTGTCTACACAGAGCTCACTCTCTGTGGCAGGTGGATCTTTACGGAACTAAATGGAATAGCTTGTCTACATAGAGCGTGGCCCTTGTTTGAGGTGGATTCACTGAACTAACTGCCTGCTTCATGGGTTAAATCCAGACACACGTGTTTGTAACAGTCCATAAAATGGCACGTTTGAATGTCTTCTACTTGTTTAAAAGGCACACTACCTGCCATCCTCCATGGGGCTGACTTAGGTCCTTCTTGACTAGCTTAAAGCTTTGGAAGGAACCTTGTTACTAAGAGAATTGAGAAATCTGGTTTTCATTTTTTTAAATATATGCTTTAATTGGGGGTAGTGGTGGGGATTGAATCTACTAAGCAAACTCTACTGCTAAGCTATATCCTCCGCTCTATGTTTTAATTTTAAAAATCCTTATTATTACCTTCATTACCAGTGATTTCTTTGATTAACACAGGAAGTTTCAGGTCATTGATGATGTTTTTCTCTGCTTAATGTGCTGTGTTTAAATATAGATTACCAACAGTCCAAAATAGTGATTTTTTTTTTTTTTTTTTTTTTTTTTGGTATTTCTGTTGGGGCTTTTGGTATCCTATAAGGCATTCATCATTGTCTTTTCAATTTTTTGTTGACATAATTAACTAAGTTTTTCTTAAACATCTGTTGTTTTATTTATTGTTGTGTATGATGTGGGTGTGGATGCCAACCAAGGTGCTTCTGTGGAGGTCAGAGGAGAGTTTTATGGAGTTGATTCTCTCCCCACCTTTTGTAGGTTCTGTAGGAAGAATTAAGGTCATTGAGCTTGCATTGGAAACCCCACCTCTGTTTTGATTTTTTATGTGTAGGGTGTGTGTGTGTGTGTGTGTGTGTGTGTGTGTGTGTGTGTTTGTGTATACACACATGCGCGCCCGTGCACAGGACACAGCCTCAAGGACATTAGGAGTCTTCCATCTCTGTCTTAGGCCTGTTAGATAGGCTCTCTGTTGAACCTGGAGCTTTCTGTTTCCCACTTAGGCTGGTGGCAGGCAAGCCCCAGGTGTCCTCCTGTCTCTGCTCCCTCTTACCTCTTACAGGGCTGCTGGGATGCAAACTCAGGTTCTCATGCTTGTGCTGTGGATTCCTTGGCCATTTAAAGGATGCTTGAAATCTCTCTTCCTTTCAGAGCTCTTTTAAAGAGCAATTTATATTTGCGCTCCCCCCCCCTCTCTCTCTCTCTCTCTCTCTCTCACACACACACACACACACACACACACACACACACACACACACACACAGACACACACCAGTGACTGTCTAGAGCTACTTATATGCTAGCTAGACAAGTGCTCTATCACTGAGCTACCTCTCTAGCCCTACATTTACTTTCTGTATTTAACTCCTGCTTCTGTTCTCCCTTTCAACTTTTGGCATGGATTTTTCTTGCCAGATTTTCTCCTATTCTCTTAGATGAAGTGTCAGGTTTTGTAGTCTTTTCTCAAATGGTTGTGCTCCTTTCACCACTGTTTGCTGTAATGAACTATTTTATCCAAATACTGTTTGTTTGTTTACTTTCCCCAGACAAGGTCTCCTTGTGTAGCGCAAGGGAGAAACTTGAGATCTTCCTGATTCAGCCTTTTAGTGCTGGGATCAAAGGTGTGTGTGATCATACCCTCTCTAGGTTTCCTGTGGTGACATAAACAAATGTGCTAGAAAGACGCAGGTTAGGACCATTTCTCCCACTGCAAACACACAGAAATGTCAGATAAAATGACCACATAGTTTCTCTTGTGTTTAGTTGAGAAAGGGAGAGATGGTAGGAAAAAATTAAGTCAAAAGTCAAGCTGCTTTGGTAGTATTGAAACATCTGCTTCTAGGAGGAGCTAGGATTGCTCCTCCTAGTGCAAACACTAGTTTGCAGCTGAATTTTAATATCCCAGGAAGGTGAAGCAGAGTAAATGTAAAAGAAACCACAACCACAGTTAGATGTGGCATGATGGAAGTGTGTTAGTCTATCCTGACAATCAGAGGATACATAAGTCCTTGCCACTCATCTGCCTTTGCAAAGGCAAATAGTGCTACCAAACTTCTGTTCATCTGTAAGCACACAGGGGCAAATACTGCCTTTTAGCATATATGGTCAGTTGAAAGTTCATCTCGTAGATTGCTTTATGTCAGTCCATATTGAATGAATGCCTTTTGTTCTGGTTATGTTAGTTAACATCCTGGCTTTTATACATTTTACATGTTGTGTGTGTTGTATTCACATTCACATTTGTACATGCACACATATGTCATGGTGTGCTTGTGGAGGTCATGAGACAACTTAGAGCAATTGGTTCTTCTTCAACGTAAGTATTTTGGCAACTAACTCAGGTCATCAGGCTTGGCAGCAAGTACCTTTTTACCCTCTGAGGGTGTGTGATATTCTTGCATCCATATTTCACCAGAACTCTGTTGGTGGACATTTAAATTACTTTTTGTCTTGTGATATTAGAAACAGTGTTGCAGCAGATACCTTACCTCTTAAGTATCTGTACAGCTATGTCTCTTAGATTTAGAGTAATGGGCCAAGAATATCTGTTTTGGGAAAGGATAATTTTATCATCTTTTTGCATAGGTAATAGTTAGTTATACATATAGTCCAAAAATCAAAAGCACCAGCATAGGAAATTGAAGTGCAAAGTAATTTCTCTCTTATCTCCTACCTGCAGTTTTGTTTTCTAGAAATGTCCCTATTATTATATTATTACTAGTTTCTTACATATTTTGGAGCTGTTCTGTCTGGCATGATAGCCTTTAACTATGTGCGGCTCCATAGCTCTTCAAATGGTTCGTCTGAATCGTTATAAGGCTAGGATACACAGTGTTTAGGGGTCTAACACTTAGTGCAAAACATAGACTGTAGAATATCTCAGTGTTTTTAATAAATGCTACATAACAGTAATTACAAAGACACGCTTCCAGCAGTCCAAGTGGCTGGAAGGGGAAGGAGTGGCCAGGTCAGACCCAAGCTCGGTTGGTATGAGATTTGGCGGTTGTTTTGTGACACACCACCAAAGGCCCATGCACAAGTGGAAAAGGTGAGTTGGGCTTTATGACAGGTGGAAAGCTTTTGTGCATCAAAGAAAGAAAATGTGAAGATAATTCTCACAATGAGAGATTGCATTTGGAAACAGTGTATCTTATAAAGGTTTAGCATCTGGAGTATTTAATTCTAGACAAAAGAATTAAAAAGTGGGTAA